CCTCATAGTATTCCTTTTGTGATTGACTTCTTTCCCTTAGCATGTTTCTAAGGTTCATGTTGTAGCACCAATCAGTACTTAATTCTTTTTAATTGCTGAGTAACATTCCAGTGTGTCACTATTGATCCATTCATAAGTTGATAGACATTCAGCTTATTTCCACTCTTTTTTTCCATCATTTATTGGTAGCTCTTACAGACATCATAACATTTCCATAATTCAAATAAATGAAGTATAATTGTGCAATTGCTACTACTATCAGTTTCAAAACATTTTCTTTCTTCTTGAACTCTTTGATATCAGCTCCCTTTATCCTCTCTCCCCTTCCCTTCCCCTTGTTACTATTGCTATCTATTATTATTAAATCTGAGTTTAAAGTATAATAGTAATAAATGCTTTAGTGTTTTGAATTACAATTACTCATTTCAAATCGCAATATATAGGTAATCATCAAAAAAGGACAGCTACAAAATCCCTAATACCATTTTATTCACTGAGTAGAGAGTAAGTACATGGCACAAAGGCCTTGGTGATAATGGAACCAAATGGGGAAAATGGAATAGGACAGGGAAGCAAGTAGCTAATTGCCTCCTTTGCCATTATGACCAGAAGAATGGATGGTGCCTGGTTACCTTAATGGACATTTTGATCAGAACAACAGAATTTCCAATTATCATGGAATTCACTCTTCCGGGAGTCATGAGGCTGGATAAATCCTGAAACTACTACTCAGAGATAACAGTCTTTAAGTTGTAAAATTCTTTTTAAAACTGAACAATATTATAACAAAACTAGGTAAAACTAGGTAAATGTCTGCCTGGAGCATTGTGCTCTTTATAAAACTACCTACATGTTATCAAATTAACATCAACAAATCAAAATATTAGACAATACTTAAGAGGACAGTGAATTTATGTTAATGGGGGAGAAACAATTAAGAAAAATGAATTCAAATGGTTGTGCAACGTTTAGAATGTAATTCATTGTCAATGAATTATGTAGAAATTGAATTTATGACTGCTATGCTGTAGATATCACTCAGTAAAAAAGGCATTATTTTCGATTCAAGGATTAACATATCTTCAAAATACTTTAATGTAACCACCAAAGGGACACCTAGATATTAGCACTGAGAAGCTAATTTTGTTGTTGTGTGATCATGCCATTAACTCCACTGACATAGATTTTATCATTAGAAAACAAATTCTAGACCAGAATTTTCTATTAAAAATATCCCCATTAACTCTAGTGACTACACTGTTAATACACAAAAAGCCACTCTTCGGTAATTAAGAAACAACTTTCATGATAAAAATTACTTCTTAAAACAAAACAGAATTTATGAAAATCGCTTAAAATGTGGTATCTTACTAATAATGAGTACAAGGAAGAAGAAAATGTTTTAAAATTGTGGTAATGATTGTACAACTCTTTTTGGTATGACTGGACTATTGTGGTATCATTTCTACCACCATCCTCTGATAAGAGATATTAACTTAAAATCAAGATGGCACAACTACATTCATCTGTAAATAGGCACAAAATAGGAACTTCACATCACAGGAAGTTATAATAAATGAAGTTAATATAAGTAAAGCATGTAGTAAAAGTGCCCAAAAGTTAACCATATATCAAAACTGTTAACCTAAGTATCCAGAAATGGGATTGCTCTAAAATAACTTTGTGCCATTTTAGTGAGATATAATTTATAGCAGTGGGGGGAAGTAAGGGGAGAGACCTATGAAGAAATTCTAAGTTTCTTTCAGAAAATGGTTTATAGTAATAACAGTGCTATTATTTCGAACTATGATCTTTATAAGATATGGCAAATATTTATGATATCAGGAATCAGTTTTCATCAAAAGAGGAATCACATGTTCATATAAAAATTGAAATATAAATGCCATTAGTCACCCATAAGTTTTAATACATATGTATGA